TCCATAGTTAGCTTAAGTTGTATTATCAAGTTACCATCTAACTTACAGCTCTGCAGAGAGACAGAGCAATACAATTTTGAACCAGTCACGCTGAGAATTTAAACGCTATATTTTTAAAGACAATAAAGAACATTCACAAAATTATTTGTGAGCAAAACAAGCACGTTTTGCCTTCTTTCAAACACCGGTTATTATTTGTGTTACTTTTTCTCCAGTGAAAGAAATGCCCCACGTGTGTTCATCAGAAAAGACAACTGTTACAAAAAAAAAAAAATCATGTAAACACCTTCAGCCATCCCGTGTTCTTTGACCTTCCGAAGGTGACGATGTGAATGTCGACGCTGAAGTTGAGTCGATCGCTGACCATGGTCGCCACTCCCGATCCAAGGTTGAACCGATGCACAACCCTTCCGCTTCGTAGTCCCAAAACTAAAAAGTCATCCCCATCACTGCCTGAAAGACATGAGGAAAGTTAGTCAAACATAAAAAAATTGACATTTTGTGCTAACACCTTGGATAAACAAGCTTGAGTTTGCTGTTGTGTGGGTTTCTAATGTTTTATACAAACTCACATGAATATAATGAACTCAATTAGTATTTGAGGATATATGTAAATCATTATACATTTCATTTTTATTGTCACCGCTAACAGAAGGTGGACAATTATGTTTTTGCTTGTGTGTGGCTGCCTATTGCCAAAATATCTCACACACATTTTAATGAAAGAAATCACTGAATGTGCCTCTACAAGTGATTAACATTTGGAGCCAACTCGATTCAAGATGGCCACCACAGCCAACTCACCTTTGGACACATAAAAATGGCTCCAACTCAGTCAGTTCTCCAGATATTGTGCTATAATTTGATGTGGTAGTAGAGGAGAGTCATCCTCAACTCATACTTTGAGCGTGGTATCAGGCAACATCATGTGAGGTCACATATTATTTTCACGTTTTCACCAAAACAACTATTGTCATTTCTCAACATGAGAAGATCTTAGACCAGGGGTCTGCAACCTGCGGCTCTGGGGCCACATGCGGCTCTTTAGTCGCTCTTCTTCGGCCCTTTGAAGCTTTGACAAAACAAACGTGAAACTGTACTTAATTATTGTTCTTTATAACCACAACAAAAAATGTGAGATTTAGAAGTTTTTTTGTTGTTGTTTATTTTCTGTAAATTTATGAAATATACGAATTCAAGGAGCGAAAAGTGTTGATTACATTTAGCTACTTTATTTATCCAACCTCGAGGATTACAGTGGCATTATTCTCTCTCTCTCTCAAAAAAAAAAAAATAAAAAAAAATCCATAACTTCTCAAACAAAATGCCTAATTTTTCTGCATACTTTAAAATTATGTTTTATTACTTCAAAGTGGTATACTTAATTATAAGTCAGATAAAAAGACTCACATAAGCCTGCAGAGACTCGGTATAAACACTTTTCCCCCTACTTTTGGTCTTTCCTTTTACCCTAAAATATAAAAAATTTCAATAAATGTAAAAATGAATTACCGTACTTTTCACTATATAAATCACACATTTTTGCAAAAATTAGCATGCCCTGCGACTTATACAGCAAAGTGACACATTTATGTTTTTTCCCCATATTTAGAACTCAATTTTTGGCTGAGATCTGATGATTTAATTCATCCTGACATGGAAAATATTAAACACTACCATTTTCAACCACTAGAGGGCGCTTGAGTAATAGTCTTACATGTCATCTGTAGAGAGCAAAAGGAATTAATTCAGTAGTATGCTGTGGGTGGGAGATATTCAGGTTTACAAATGTCCTCCCAGGAGGACAAATTTGAACTGCTGGTAGTCAGGAGGATATGGCAAGCCAAACGTCTCATTAATATGTAAAATGGCTATTAATGAGACACTTGGCTTGCCAAACTCGCTCCGGAACTCATGGAGCAAATGTCAAATCAGCTGCATTTCGCTGCGCCACCCAGGCAAAATGCAGCTGATTTGACCATTAAAGTGCATTTATTAAGGAAAAGTTCAGCTGAGACACACCTTTACTATAATGTCGAGCAAACAAATAATTGTTTTTAGGTAGTTATCTTGTTAAACTTTGAAGAAATGCACTGCGAGTCGTCCCTCTGTGCGCTCCTGCAGCCGCGAATCGGCTTTTGAAATGCAGCTGATTTGATCGTCAAAGTGCATTTATTAAAGAAAAGTTAAACAGACACACCTTTACTATAATTCTGAGCAAACAAATAATAGTTTTTAAGTGTTAATGTTGTTAAATCTTTGTTAAAATCCTCCCGTGCATGCTCCCACGGCTGCCATTTGGCAACCAATCGATTTTTGGCACAACACCGGCCCACATTTCCGGGTGGTCAGCGGTGACGTATAATAGATGCGACTTATATGGCCAAGTGACCAATTTATGTTTTTTTTCCCACTTTATTAGATATACTTTGACTGATACGACTTATATAGCAGTGCAATGTGTATGGCGGAATGTACGGTATATATTTTCAGTTTTATAATATCACCCCAACTGTCCGGAAAAGCCCTCCTCCAATGACCTCTAAGTGGCCCATGGGCCATCAGTTGATAAGCAGGTTTTGCAGCTCCAGACACATTGTATTTAGTGAGTGAAGTGGCAGAAATGGCTCTTTGGATCAAAAAGGTTGCAGACCCTGTTTTAGACTAAAACTCAGGTATGAAAGGCAGCAGGTGATCTGCCTTTTCTGCACTGATATGCAATTTCTTATGCTACTGTATGTTTTTATTTTCAGTCAAAGAGTTGCTGTTCACTCTCCTGCCTAGCAAGTGTTTCATTATCCACATTACTCTTGTTCTGTTTTGCCTCCACCTAGATGAACCACACTCTCAGGAGAAAACAACTACAGAGAGATTCATTACTGGTAGTTGTGATTTTATTTCTCCGTTTTGATGAAACATGCAGCTGACAATGGCACAGCAGTTACCTGCTACTTAATCGAACTGCAATGAAAGGAAATACTCATTTCATGTGAGAGGCGCTGACAGCACCGAAGTGCACACCCACACCTGACAGTCTGTTCAATGTGATCAACATTTTTTACTTTTAGGACGATTAGCTCAAATATGCCATTTTGTGTGAGCAATGTCAAAATGCACCACGCAAGTCAGAAACAATAAAATATCAGCTGGAAATCACGTAATTGCTGGACTGTGAGAAAAGTTGTTATTAATGACTGAAAATCCACAAAATAAAGAGCGAGAAAATCCTCAGGGAAGCCTTTTGATTAGATGATCTCAGAGGAGAGTGGAAATCCATTAGATAGCACATTACCATACACAGCAGGTGATTTAAATGGTTCTATCCTCAATTAACTTGGACAACTAAAACTAAGAAAACTACCCCCCCCCCCCCCCATTTGTCATTACTCATCAATATGAATCGTTTTAAATAGACTTGTCAGGACAGAGCTCACCTTGTCCTTTACGTCCAGCGAACAGGATCAGGTTGTCTCTGACAGCAGATGAATTATTTGCAAGCGTGAACTTCAGCTTGAACTCGTAGAAGAAGCTCAGGCTCGGGATGGAGGAGTAAGCCACGAAGGACGTGTAACCAAACTCATCATGTCCGCTGAATCTGGCACGAGTAATATTGATGTCTGCAAAAAGGAGGAACCAAAGAAAAAGAAAAAAGAAGCACGTTAAGATGAGCCGATCATCCTGTCTGAACTGAAAGGTCTCGTTAGCTTTCTCAGTTTACCAAAAGATGGCACTATTGTCACACACTGCACACGTGGCTGTATTTTCTGATGCTATTAGACGATGACCTGTTTTCAAATACTACCACCTCCTCACTCCTTTTCAATTTCCATCAGTAGCTGTTTAGGAGGAATTCTGGCATTCAGGATATGCGATGTTCACAAAGGGTCGCACAATAATCCCAAAGATATTCAATTACAATCTTCAGTTTAGATATTCAGAACGCATGGTTGATTCAATAATACCCCCCAATGCATTTCATCTGAGCAGACCCATCTAGTTGATTTTACACCGGGGACTCAATGTAAATTTAGCCATGCTCAATCACAATTACATGCTGCCATGGGTTTCTTTTTTTCCCCCTTCTTCACAGCAGTAGCAGACTCAGACAGAAAAAACTGCTCCTCTTCTCCGTCTGGATACTCCTTCTTCTGCAGCCCCCGGCGATGGCTAAGACTGGTTCAGAGCACCCCTCTGCAACTGCCCTCAGCTCAGTTCGGCTGCTAAATTATTAATAAATCTGCAAATGCTTCTGTTATTGTCTTCCAGAGCTGTATTTGCCTATTGCCTCGGTGAACGTCCGCAGCATTTTAGCTTTAACTTGTTTTAAACGAGGCAGCGTTTGATTTGTGGCTCACCATCAATACCCCACTGAGCAGATTAAAAAAGAATCAAAATGCTTCACAAATGGCAGCGTTATTTTTCTACTGCATGG